CACTACCTCTGGGGGGTCTTTTTCAGTTGGTTCCTTGAGATCCGGGTCTCCCCATTACTCTACCTGGACAACTGATGTTGTCAACGTGGAGGCAGAGCTTGACACTTGTGTCTGCTGCCTTTCATCATTTTTTGAACTACCTTTGGATCAGGATTCTGGGCCCATGGGGAGGTTTTCCTTGCAGACACGAGTCACTGGTGTATTTGCTAACATGCCTTCTAAGTCTCCACGCAAGCCGCCCACCCAGGCTCTGTGTGAGCAGCCAGAGGCAGCCTGTGTCCCGCCCCCAAGTCTCTCCAACCCAAGCTGATTTCTGACAACGCTCCTTAACGACAGCTTCCAAGAGGGCTGCCTCTCCTAAGCGTCCACACCCTGGACCTGTGTCCTGGTTTTGTTGACGTTATCCAGCTGCAAACCTCACTCAGGCAGGAAACTGCCCTGCCTTCAAACCCATTCAGCTACATCAGGCCAAATGTGTTCAGTGCTCAGGAATGATACGGAGATCTTCAATCAATACAGGAACGGACTGAGGAGCAGCTTTCACTCCACAAACATTTATGCCGCCACCACCACCAGCACACAACAGTGCTCTCCGCCTGCCCCGGCCAGCCCGGCCTATGTGTTCTTATCTTCTCTACACCTCATGGCTAGCCCAAGATGTCTGCCACTGCCCTTGTTTGAGGGGGGAAACTGAGGCTCAGGAGGTTAAGGGGCTCACCACAGGCCATGCCCCCAATGTGCAGGTGATGTAGGACAAGCTGGGCTCAGCTAGGTCTGCTCTGAAGCCTACATCACCCTGAACTGCCAGTGGGCTGCTCATGGTCCTGTCATCAGGGCCTATGAGGAATGGGCCCTGTTCTCAGGGAACAGCCGAGGGCTGGGCTGAGGCCTGACCCCAGGCAGGTCGGCTTGGACCCTGTGCAAAAAGAGAGGGGGGCTGTAAGGGTACTCAGCCCCGGCACTCATGCTACAGAGAGGGCAGAACTCTGGACGACAGAGTCCCTTGCCTGCCATCCTCCTGCGAGTTCACCCCACCCTGGCCCACTGGGGAGGAGGAATTCCTTGGGTTGGCTCATCCTCACTCCCCTTAGAACAAGCGCCTTCTGAAATTCTGAAAAACCTCAAGGACTAAAGACCCAGAAGAAAGGCCCTGTGGAGTATCTGGATTTAATTCTTGTCCCCATCCGCTGGACTAGAGTTCCAGAGGGTGAGAGGCCCGGCCGGCTCCTCTCTGTGCCCGAGTGGACACTGGGGCAGGGTCAGCCTAGGCTCCTGGCAAGGGGTGCTGCCCAGCTGGCATCTGATGAACAGGTGTCAGGGAGATGTGTCCTGAGTCATGGCGTGGGGACGGCCGCAGGAGAGTTTCTCACATCCTTTTGCAAAACGATGGGAGAAAAAGGACAAGGAGGCAGGTTCCAGGGCATGGGACGGTGGCTGCAGCCGTGGGCAGAAGAGCTGGGCAGGGACTGAGGCATCTCTGGTGAGCACAGCACAGATGGGGTCAGTGCCCAGGGGCAGCAGTGCCCAGCAGCTCACGGGTGAATGAATGCCGGTGGCAGGTGGGCGCCAGGGGATGTGGAGACAGGATTATTTCTACAGAACAGCAGAGGGAAATGTAGGTATGTCCAGGGCGGGGTCCACCTCCTCCAAAAGCAGCCGCAGCAGTGCAAGGCCAGGCTGGCTCCAGGCCAGGTGTGTGCCCTTCAGCTCACGGTGCCACTGGCAGGCCCAGGCGGAGATACAGCCACGGAGGGAGAGCACTGTGCAGGGCACACTCACATTTACTTTGTAAGATCCACCATGGGCTTAGCATCATGGCCTGCACCGCGCTGACGGCAGGCTGAGGCCAGGTGAGGCCAGGCGAGGTGGGAGTCCCTCGGTGAAGCCCACAGGGCAGCTGTGTGCTGGGCAGAACCCGGCCGGATGCCCGCGGATCCCACCTGGAGCGGCTGTGGAGGGGACCTTGGTGCAATCCAAGCTTAGTGAGCAGGAAAGAAGATACCCTCTAGTGTGAGGCGACGGGTCTGCTGCATTCCTTCATGCACCAGGGGACAAGCATCACTGGGACGGTGCCAGCTGCCTGCGCAGTAGCCCAGAACAGAGGCTCCAGGCTCCCTCCTGGCAGGTGGGTCTGACTCTCTCAGGAACCCTGCCAAACCCCTAAGCTCCCACCTCAAATGCCTGTGCAGCCTCCCAGAGGCAAGCAGTTTGGGCCAAACCAGGACCTTCCGATCCACCAGGATCCATGCGGTGTGTGGTGTGCACGCAGTAACTACAAAAGGAATGAAAAGTCCCAGGAAACAGCTGCTCAGGCTGGTCTTCCGTGGCTGCTGAGAGCCCCAGGGCCTGTGTCAGAGCCGAGGCCGCCAGGTTATGGGTGTGTGACGTGGGGCCAGCACTGCATGGGCAGCCATCTCAGGAAGGGGCAGGAGGGGCAGTGGGGCCCCTGCCCAAGGATGCTCAGGGGGAGGTCTGCGTCTCTGATCCTCAAGGACAGTCCAGGGCTTCCTATCCAGGTGGGTAGAACGGGCTGTGCTCAAGAGTGGAGGCAGAAGCTGTGAGTGGGTGTGGGGGCAGGTGGGGCTGTGGAGCCCTCCTCACGGCCCTGAGGGAGGAGGGCTTTAAGGTGGCTTTCAGACCCACAGGCAGTCATGCCGCAGGCAGGCACAGATGCGACTGACTCCTCAGTTTGTCTCTGAGTGTGCCTGTGGAACCAGGAAGAGATGACGGCCTGCTGGACTGGGTCTCAGGCCTGAACCCGCTTGCGGACTCCCAGTGGCGCCTGACAGCTTCTTCCAGAGGAGGGGCTGAGGGGCCCAACGCAGGCTTCAGCCACCTCTGCTGCTGTCAGCTGCCTTGGTAAGATCTTACCTGCCCTGTAAGATTTGCTGTTAGCTTTTGAAATTGCAGTTAGAAGTGCACAAACCTTAACGGGACACCATTTCACAGCTGCATAATCTGTGCAGCCGTCCCGAGATCCGGACATGAAACCCTTGTGCAGCCCAGAACCTCCTTACCTCTTCCGGTCAGAATCCCCAAGGTCACCACTGCTCTGACTTCTGTCACAACAGAGGAGCTCTGCCTGCTTTTGAACCTCCTGAAAAACCCATACGGCACATACTTTTATGTCTAACTTCTTTCAAAAATTTGTCTTGGAGATTTGTCTATGCCATTAAAGGCATTACTCTTTCATTCACACCTACGGTGGGCTAGCATCCCATTGTATGGATATACTGCGTTTTCCTCAGCCATCCCACTGTTGACGGACACTTGAGTGGTGTGCTGTTTGGGGCCATCGTAATGAAGTTTCTGTGAACATTCATGTATATGATGGGCATCCCAGTAAGATTTTGCCTGGAGAAAAAAGTTTCGCCAGATAAAAAATGCCCAGGAACTCAAATTTCTGACTTCTGGACAGCACTGTAAGTGGTATTCAGGCATTAAGTTCTTTGGTCTTAAGCACCAGGACAGAAAAGCTGAAGCAAATGTGCAAATACATGGAAACTCACAAAGTGTTGAGGGCAGATGTGAATCTTACAGGACAGTGTGTGTGTGTGAATCATCTGCCATGGCTGTGGGAGGGCCTCAGATGGCTTGGGCAGCACATTCAAACTAAATGTGCGAGAACTACTGGTCCCGAATATTTGGGGAAGAGGGTAAGAAATGAGAGACAAGGCTGCAAAAGAGACTACGGCCTAACTGCAAAGGGCTTTGAATGCCACCCTAAAGCACTTGGACTTTATCCTGTAGGCAACGGGGAATTGACAGATGTTTTAAACAAACATCTTTAAGTATCTGCACACTGCTTGGTAGGTATGGCAAAGTTGGCCGTGTCACCCGTGGGCTTTCGGTGCCAACTCTGAAGCCCTTAAGTGTGTTAGGCAGGGGGGATACATGGAGCCCGGCACTGAGCTGAGTAAACTGCAGTTCATTAGCTAGAGACAGTGGAGAGGCAGGAGATGGTGTGAGGGCAGGAGAGCAAAGGGCCGGCTGAGTCTAGGGCCAAGAAGCCTAAGGTCCAAACCCTGGTTCTGCCACTCCTCGGCTGTAGGACCTTGAGAATGCTACATAACCTTCCTGCACCTCTGCTCATCTGTAAAGCAGGGCCATTCACGGTTTTCACATGCCATTGTCGCTGAGAAGGTTAAATGATCTAGTACTTACAAGGGTCTGGCACACAACAAGCACTCAGGAAGCATCCACTGAAGCCCCTCTTATGGGATGACACTGGTGGTTACAGGAATGAAAGCATGCGGTCAGCTCACCAATGTGCACGTGTGGCCTTGCACTGACAAATGGCAGGCATACACGCCATAGGCAAATACTCCTACACACACACACACACACAGCCCGACGCTAGCAGGTGTTTTAAAGACACATGTGCTAAGATGCTCCCCGCGCAGCAGCTACCCTAAACGTACTCACTAGAAACCTGGTGCTTTAGTTACAGAAAAGGGAAAAGAAATGAGTAGGTCTGGAATTAGCCTCAAAGCACCTTTGCTGTGGTGCCTCTCAGGCAGGGAAGTTGCCCAATAACCCAGAGTCCAAGGAGGACTTTGCAGACGGCCAGCAACGGTTCCTTCCAATCCGTGTGCAATGGGAAGGGAAAATGCTGCCTTGGGACAGGTTCTTCTCCTCTGGAGCTCATGAGAAAAGAGCAGCTGCACTTGTGGGGGTTTCAGAAACATGGGTGCCAGGTGCACGGGTCCCTTGAGAAAACGGGGAACGCGCACAAGGGAGCCCTGCTGTCACTGCCCACATGGTGAGACGATTTGCAGCCGGTCCTGGGACAGACCACTGAAAACTGGCCAAGGCAGTGCTCACAGCACCGACCCCGTGAGGTGAATGAAAACCCACACCCAGCAGCTCTCTGGCTACAGGCTATTGTGGAGGATCCTCTTTCTCTCTCAGAAAACGGGTTTCGACGTCAGGTGACCCCACTGTAGTGAAACAAGGGTGGGCAAGAAGGAGCCAAACGTGGGGGGGCGGCACAGTCTTACCTCCACGTACAGGAGCGGGAAGATCCCGACCTTGTCTCCCAGCATGCCTTCTGCCCAGTTCTCATCCACTCTCCTGAGCACCGTCAGAATCTCGTCCTGCAGTTCCGGGTCCAACGTGGACACAAACACATGGACATACACACAATGCAAAAGGAAACAAGACACTGGTTAGTACTGTGGAGGCTCGGAAGAGATTCCAAGGCATGTGTCCAAGAAGAGTGCATCATCCATGCAGGTATCTGACATCTTCACCCAGCAGCACCTTCTCTTTCTTTCTTTTTTTTTGGAGGGAGGGGCGGAGTCTCGCTCTGCTACCCAGGCTGGAGTGCACTGGCACAATCTCAGCTCACTGAAGCCTCCGCCTCCCGGGTTCAAGCGATTCTCCTGTCTCAGCCTCCCGATTAGCTGGGATGACAGGCATGTGCCACCAAACCCAGCTAATTTTTGTATTTTTTGGTAGAGATGGTGTTGCCCAGGCTGATTTTGAACTCCTGAGCTCAGGCAATCTGCCCGCCTTGGCCTCCCGAAGTGCTGGGATTACAGGTGTGAGCCACTGCACCCGGCCAGAACCCTCTCTTTCTGACACTACTGATAATAGCTGCAAAAAGCCCCAAATGGGAAAGCCTGGCAATGTACCATACAGTTAGGACTTTAAAATGCAACTCCTATTATTTATTTAATGAAAAAAAATATTTGGAATAAAAATAAATTCAGCTAAACAGAAAAGGCTTTAAGATTCTGGCTCCATCCAAGAACAAAAAAAAAAAACCCCAATCCAACTACATTTATTTAGAGTCGTGGGCACATAAAGCTTTCAATAACCCTCTTAAATTCTTTGGAATATTAAACAATACCAAGTACAAATGCACAAAGTGGAAACAGATGGAAGGAGAAAGGAAGAGGCAGGGAGCAAGGAGGAAAGACGGGCTTTCGGGGGAGTTGAGACTGGGAGATGGGAAGTCATCGAGGAAGGAAATACTCAGGACACTGTCACAGGTGCCAGGAGACACAGAGACAAAGGGCAGGGCAGTGTGGGAAGGAGGGAGGGAGGGAGGGAGAGGAAAAGGACAGAGGAGAGATGGGGACTCACAGGGGGACGTGACCAGAGAGGAGCCCTGGGGGAGGGAGATAACAGCTGCAGCAAGTGTCACGAGAGACAGACGGGCAGGCGTGGTGGCTCACGCCTGTAATCACAGCACTTTGGGAGGCCAAGGTGGGTGGATCACCTGAGATCAGCAGTTTGAGACCAGCCTGACCAATATGGTGAAACTCAGTCTCTACTAAAAACACAAAAATTAGCCGGGCATGGTGGTGCGCGCCTATAGTCCCAGCTACTTGGGAGGCTGAGGCAGGAGAATCTCTTGAATCCCGGAGGCAGAGGTTGCAGTGAGCCGAGATCACACCTTTGCACTCCAGCCAGGGTGACAGAGCGAGATTCCATCTTAAAAAAAAAAAAAAAAAAAAAGAGAGAGAGAGAGAGACCACCACAGCAATGGCCTGGGCAAGATGGGTGTCACCCCAAGAGCCTTTGGTGAACCCCTGTTCCCTCCTCCAGAACCATCCTTCCTTCGGCAGCCAGGTGCATCATGGAACGCCCCAAGGCCTGTCAGCCTACACTGCCCCGTTATTTGTTCTCTGCTGGACCAGCTGGCCCATGTGTGACGTTAACAGGCTAAGGAGGAGATGGCCAAGAGCGGCCTCATGGAGAAGCCCGTCAGAGCTGAGTGTGCCGCCCACCTTTTCAAGGAGCCTCTGATGCTCTAATGCAAAGCAGCAATTCGGGACTTATAGGCCTCTTTTGGGGTCAAAGGGAGAGATGTTTTAGGCTGGTGGGGTCCATGAAATCATCAGAGAAAACTGCTTCACCGGGAGCCGAGGGGGCCATAGGGTTTGGTGTCCATTCGAGGTGAGGCAGCATTGATCTAACAGAGCTGGACAGCCCATCTGGGATCACACAGAAAGAGGGCAGGCCTGGCTCTGTGCTGGGAAGCTCCTCCCACGCCTCTTCCAAACCGCCCTCTCCCAGGAGAACAAGTAGAGCGTGGGGGCCACCAGAGGCAGTCACAGCCCTCACTTTCCCCATCCTCTCCCCCAAAACCCCAGCTTCAAAAACACCCAAACCAAAAACATTTATGGCTTTACAATGCCACTTTTTCCAACTGACATTATAGGCCAGAAAACGTAAAAAGCATTCTAAGAGCATCATATCACTTCACATGGCCCAAAAGTCAGCCTCACGTCTGGGGGCATTTAGCAGAGCATCCCTCCAGCAACGCTCAGCTGTGAGTGTGGGGGCGCTTTTCTTTGTTTTCTTTTCTTTTTTTTTTTTTTTTTTGGTTTTTTAGATGGAGTCTCGCTCTGTCGCCAGACTGGAGTGCAATGGCCCAATTTCAGCTCACTGAAACCTCCGCCTCCTGAGTTCAAGCGATCCCCCTGTCTCAGCCTCCCGAGTAGCTGGGACTACAGGTGTGCACCAACATGCCCGGCTATTTTTTTTTTTTTTTTTTTTTTTTTGTATTATAGTAGAGACGGGGTTTCACCATGTTGGCCAGGATGGTCTTGATCTCCTGACCTCATGATCTGCCCACCTTGGCCTCCCAAAGTGCTGGGATTATAGGCGTGAGCCACCGCGCCCGGCCGAGTGTGGCGGGGGGGCTTTTCTAATCACCACGAGGGCACTAGAATGGAGCCCTGGCTTGGGGGAGGCACCCACAGAATGCTCCAGAACTCTTGTGACTGACCTGCCTCTCAAGTTCACCACCAGCAGAGGCCCAAGACATGATTGGCCCAGCTCAGATCAGCCTAAGAGCCTGAGGCTTCACTGATCACATAAAGGGAGAGGTAACCAAAGGCTTCCCACACGTCAGAGCAGTCAGAACAGCAAAATATCATGAGATAGAAATTTAATTTTATAGAAGTTAAAAACAAAAAGAAGAAAATACCAGATTAATTTTGTTTGTTTGTTTGTTTTTTTAAAGAAAATACCATGCTATCCACACTAGTATCTAACACTGGTCTAGAAATTAGAGCCAAATAAATAGAAAAATAAGACAAGAAGTATAAATATTAGAAAGAAGGGTATATAATTCGACCTAGAAAAATACAGAAGCAAGTGAATATTAGAATAAGAATTTAAGAAAGGCTGCCAATTTTAGGATAAAACCATTGACTTTTTCATATACCAGCAATAATCAGTTAGAAAATGTGACTAAAATTGGCTAATCATTAAAAAAATACAATTAGTTCTCTAATCCACTGCATATGCCAAAATTCATTCCATAAGATTTAAACTTGAATGTCCAAGAAGAAAATATGAATAGATGTTTAATCTTGAACGGGGGAATGTATTTCAAGGTATGATAACAAAGATTTGGCTACAGCAAAACTAAATACTTGATGTTAAAAATAGCAGAAACAAAGCAAAAAGGCAAATAAACTAGAAAAGTACTTGCAGGATACATGAGAGACAAAGGCTTAACGTCTTTACTATATAAAGACTTAAAAAAACAGTGGAAAGGCAGACAAATACCTCAGGAGAAAAACAGGCCAAGGCCAAAAATCAGGGAACTCTTGAAAGAAGAAAAACAAATTTCCATTCAACATATTTTAAAATGGCATACCTGGCCATTAATCAAAGAAACACAGTTTTAAACAGGAAGAGTCCCCTTTTGTTCCTTTTGCCTGTCAAATTAGCAATGAGAAACATAAAGCCAACTCACAGTGCTGGCCAGTATGCACGGAACAGGCATTTTCCCATTTTTGGTGGGGATATAAATGTAGGGCAGGCACTTTGGTGATTCCTGTCAAATATCAAAGCCTTGGAAGCCTGTGCAACCTCTGAGCTAACAATACCACTTCTAGGAACTGTATTCTAAGAAAAATCAAGTGTGCAGAAAGATTTGTCACTGAGGACATTCATTATAGTGTTTGTTAAACTAGAGAAAAACTAAAGACAAATGCAAAGCAAAAAGGGATGGGTTAAATAAATTACAGTATTGTGCATTTGATGGAATACACTCAGTCATTAAAAATGATATAGGAGAGAAATAATGGAAATTAAAAGAGAAATGTTAATATTAAATTCAAAAAACAGGCCAGGCACGGTGGCTCATGCCTGTAATACCAGCACTTCGGGAGGCCAAGGTGGGCAGATCACCTGAGTTCAGGAGTTCAAGACCAGCCTGGCTGACATGGTGAAACCCCGTTTCTACTAAAAATGCAAAAATTAGCCAGGCATGGTGCCATGTGCCTGTAGTCCCAGCTACTTGGGAGGCTGAGACAGGAGAATTGCTTGAATCTGGGAGGCAGAGGTTGCAGTGAGCTGAGATTTCGCCACTGCACTCCAGCTTGGGTGACAAGAGCAAGACTCCATCTCAAAAAATAATAATAATAATAATAAATAAAAAATTCAAAAAGCAGGATGGGCACAGTAGCTCAGACCTGTAATTTCAGTACTTTGGTAGGCCACGATAGGCAGATCACTTGGGGCCAGGAGTTCGAGACCAGTCTGGCCAACATGGCAAAACCCTGTCTCTATTAAAAAAAAAAAAATTAGCAGGGCACAGTGGCACGTGCGTGTAATCCCAGCTGCTCTAGAGGGTGAGGCACGAGAATCTCTTGAACCGGGAGACGAAGGTTGCAGTGAACCAAGATCGTGCCACTCCACTCCAGCTTGGGTGAGAGTGAGACTCTGTCCCAAAAAATAAAATAAAATAAAATAAATTTTAAAAACGAATCCCAGTCCTGATCTCTGGTATTTAAGCTTACCTTCCACAAAGCAATCATTAATAAGTTTCTTTTTGTTTACTTATTTATATATTTTTGAGATGAGGTCTTGCTCTGTTGCCCAGGCTGGAGTGCAGTGGAACGATCACAGCTCACTGCAGCTTTCACCTTCCAGGCTCAAGTGATCCTCCCCACTCAGCCTCCTGAGTAGCTGGGACCACAGGCGTGTGCCACCACACACAGCTCATTTTGTTTATTATTATTTGTAGAGACAAGGTCTCACTATGCTGCTCAAGCTGGTCTCAAACTCCTGGGCTCAAGTGATCCTCCCACCTCAGCCTCCTGAAGTACTGGGATTACAGGCATGAACC